TGACGGGATTCGAACCCACGACCTTACGGTTGCGAGTCCGAGAGCCTAACCACTAGGCCACCGACGCCACTTTAAATTACAAAGGAGTTGATAGCATGTATGGGATCCATCTGTATTAAACGTTGTTTGTTTGTTTGCGTGAGCGAAGAGAAGCACATCGACACAATAAAGGGCTTACAGTGCTGAGAAAAAGTAAGACAGGCAGGCAGAAACAGCAAAGAGCAAAGTAAAGACGTTAGACAAATCATTGGCCCCTTCCAACCACATGCTTTACAATTTCAGAACATGAGTGCAGGCACATTGACATGTTTTTGAATGATGCAGAGATAGGGAAAATGAAGAGAGAGAGAGAGAGAGAGAGAGAGAGAGAGAGAGAGAGAGAGAGAGAGAGAGAGAGAGAGAGAGAGAGAGAGAGGGGGGGGCAGACTGACAAAGGGTTAGACAAGACAGACAAAATTTGTTAACATCGCCTTCATTGCTCATATTAAACAGTGTGAAAGGGTAAAAGCATAAAAAAGCACACAGGTGAATAAACAGATACACTGGCAGGCAGAGAAAGAGGCGGAGCGAGGGAGGAAAAGGTATGAAAGGTATAGTGAAGAAGTAAAGTCTCCTCAGTAATAAGGTGGACACCGGTGATCAGCCCCAGGGCCGTGAACAATAAATAACAAAGCGGTGACTTCTACTACAACTAATTGAAAACATTATTGCGTTTTCCGCTTTGAATAACGATAAAACGGCTTGTTCTTCGCGGGTGGTTGGCGGGTGCTCTGGTGTGGCTTGCTTATGATTTCTTTCATATTAAACATCTACCGCCCTGATCTCTTCTGTTTTCTCTCCTTCTCTTTTTTATGTTTGTTAGTCTTATGTGTATAACGCATCCAATCTTCATAAGTGATCACATAAGTGATCTCTTCTCTCTCCTCTCTTCTTCTTTTGTTTGTTTGTTGCTCTTATAAACGCATCTAATCTTCGGCATTTATGTGACCTTATTGTGTTGCAAGTGCCGTAAAACTCTTACTAAAATAAGCTCAACAGCGTTCTCTGGTTTTAATTATTAGACCAACGTGTTAGAAACGTCAGAGAAGTCCGTGGGTGCCACACAAAAGTCTGTGTTTGCAAACTATTGTATTAATCTTTTGAAAAAAAAACTTCATTGCTGTGTAGACGTATGTATTACTCAATGGGTGGTTTGCAGGTGCTCTGGTGTGGTTTGCTTCTCCTTTCTCTACTTCTTTTGTACGTGTGTCACTCTCTTGTAAACTGTTATTTCCGGGGTGCCTTGATAGTCGAATCAGACTTTGTGCTGTTGAGGCTAGAGTGGTGAGCAGAGTAAGCCTGATTCCCCGCTTGGACTTCTCTGTTGACATCCACCCCTTGGCGCTCATATGACTTTATGCAGTTGCGAGTGCAGTAAAACAGACGATGACTAGTGACTTCTCTTTGTCTCCGGTAAAACCTTAGTAAACTAAACTAACGCTCGACACTTGTATGACATTATTGTGTAGCAAGTGCCGTACGACTCTTACTAAAACAAAAGTGCTCACTGGTGTTTTCCAAAAGTACTTTAGAGCCCTTTTTTTTCTATTAGCAAAGTTTGAAAAGATGTTATCATAGCTTGTGCAGTTACTCATTTTTGAATAAGGGGAAGTGTGTGGATGGAGGGCGTCAATGGTAGGTTGTCCTTCTTTCCTTTCTCTCTAAAGTTTCTGTCGGTATATCTTACCCTTTCCTAGCACTAAATGGCTTCTCTTTTCTCAAACAAACAAACAAAAAAAACAACAAACCCAAACATAATCAGGGTAGAGCATCTTAATATGCATCTATTATTATAAATGGAACATAATGATAGAATGGTATGAATATTATGGTGTCCAATAAGCAGCCTGCATTATTTACAAATTAAGAGACTTGGTGCTAAAAAGTGTGTCGATAATGGATGTTGGAGGCAGAAATTTAATAGTACAATATTATGAGTATGTGAGAGTATGCGTGCGTTCGTACGTGTGTGTGTGTGTGTGTGTGTGTGTGTGTGTGTGTGTGTGTGTGTGAGAGAGAGAGTATGTGTGATTGTGTGTGCGTGTGTGTGTGTGTGTGTGTGTGTTTGTGTGCGTGTTTGTGTGCGTGTGTGTATGCATGTGTGTGTGTGAATGTGCATGTGAGCCAAAACAAGAAAATAGCACTGAAGAAAATGTAATGTACTGAGACACTCACAGCTTTGTTTCGGCTTTTTCCGGAAACTTTTGCTTTAATTTTTTTATTTTCTTTCTAGTTTGACATAAGCGTAGTCATTTTTTATACTTAAAAATTTAGTTATTGTGAGTGTTTGAACATTTCCTCTCTGCATTTTACGGGCTTGAGACCGTCACACCGAAGTGGGCTGCATTAAAAATGTTTTGACTTTCCGAAGTCTTTCCCAGAGGGATCCAGCTGATACAAGATTGACCTCTGGGAGAAAAGGGAGTGGGGGGGTCTGAGGAAAATAAAACCTAGTAAAATGTTAGCATACATTGGAATGAATGAGCATACAATTGGAAATAAGTGAGAGAGAAACAGAGAGAGAGATACAGACGGGGGGGGGGAGAAAGAGAGAGAGAGAGAGAGAGAGAGAGAGAGAGAGAGAGAGAGAGAAAGAGAGAGAAAGAGAGAGAGAGAGAGGGAGAGAGGGATAGAGAGAGAGAGATAGGGAGAGAGAGAGAAAGAGAGAGAGAGAAAGAAAGAAAGAAAGAGAGAGAGAGAGAGCGAAAGAGAAAGAGAGAGAGAGAGACAGACAGACAGACAGACATACAGACATACAGACAGACAGACAGACAGACAGACATACAGACAGACAGACAGACAGACAGACAGACAGACAGACAGACAGACAGAATCAAGGTACAGATTATATACAATACGCAGGAATCACTGAAATAAGCCAGACATTTTGCTCAAGTAGAGGAAGCAAGTTTAGCAAGGCCGCCTAGCTGACAAAGCTTGTTAAGAGAAGATTTTACACCTTTGGATCCTCTGTTTAATTCTGTACCGAAATCCTAACATTACGAAGAGTAGGTCTTTGACCGCCGGGAGGTACTGGATTAGAATTAGCGTCACATTAAACATGAGAGCAGAGCAGTGAAGGTTGGGAGGCAGAGAGGTGCTATACCAGACACGGCAGCCAACAGACTGGGAAGGGGAGGCAAGTTTGGGTAAGAGAGGATAGACGGTAAAAGAGGTAAGAAACTTTGATGGTTTGCTATTATTTTCTGAGGGGGCCAGAGCTATTGCACTAAATAATGTAGAGTGTGAAATATAGAAACACTGATCACAGATTCAGATGAACGATAAATACGTTTTCGCTGAGATACACACACACACACACACACACATACACACACAC